CGATAACTTCGTATAATGTATGCTATACGAAGTTATTACGGAATATGGCAGAGAAAAAGATAGAACAATAGATAGATTTATCCTGTTGTGAGGTGAAAAAAGAGAGAGAGGGAGAGGGGGATGGGGGAAAGAGAGAGGGAGAGAGAGGAGAAAGAGAGAAAAACGGCGAGAAAGGATCGCATTTGAGCTCGCGCGTGTGCGTCGGGCGTTTTTAATGCGTGTTACCCGGCGGAACCGCAATCCGCTTTTGCGGCGGATGCCGGTGCTGTCCGCAGCCCGTCGGTTGGCGGTTTCCGGTAACGCGCTTTGGCGCAAACCAGCAGGCACGCCTGATTTCGAAATTGCAAAACATTTTCACACTCTTGTGGTTCCAACGCCGCCCGACGGACCCCCGCCCCCTCCCCCCCTCCGTCCCGCCGTTGCGCGCACGATGCCACCTTCCGCTCCCTTTGCGTTTCCCGGGATTTTTTTTTTTTTTCTATTCGCGTCCACACACGCGTGCACATCGCCGATTTAAAATCACGTGTACTCCTAAAACGCGCTTCGCGCGCCCGAAAAACGCGCGTCATTGCCACGCAAAAACACCCCGCGTTCAACCAACGCCGTTAACGCGAAAAAATGCTCGAATTTGTGTAACGAAAACGAAAACGCGACTAACATTCTGTCCGTGATGTTCAGTTCGCAGATTTATATTAAGGATTATAAACTAGGCTATATTTCTTAAACTATTGATATTATCAATTTCAAAGAAATATTACACAATTTTTGTATCACTACATATTTTTATATTACATATTTTTGTTCTCTGCATATTAAAGATTAATTTTTGGAATATCTAATTAAATATAATAATCAGCACGTTTAATTATATAAATTTCAAAAGAATTAAAATTTGTCATTTTATTTATGTGCATTAATATCATTATTTTGTTATTTTCACCTCAATTTATTTCGTACTATTTTTAATTACCTCTCTTTCCCTTTTCTCTCTTTTCTATATTTTCCAAATTTTATACAGGATACCAAAGAGTCATCGTCCAAAACATTGACGAATAGAGCTTTATTATGCGGAAAGATCGGGTGCGGATTTAACGACGGTGCGGTCGGAGTATCTCTCGTGTCTTAGTGGCTCGTTTCAAACAATATTAAAGGGTTTAATGGCGAAATCGTTGAGCTTTCCCGGCGCTCATCGCAATCCCGAGATTTCGCGTTTTAATTGTGAAGCCTTTAACCAGCATCGGCCCGCGGCGACAGGCAATGCCACGGAGAGGCAGAAGCGATGCCGGAGTCGGAGTGCAGTCATTAAATTATTCCGGAATGTGAGCCCGATGGGTGTCCGCCGATCGGTACGACTCTGAAACGGTCCGCGTTCGACAGAGAAGAATCAACCGGTACGCGATCTATACAATTCTCTCGCACATGTCGGACGTTGCGCCGGTCTTGTTTCGCGTGTCTTGGTGACACCTATTTTCTTTACATCCCGAGTGGTCGTATTGAAACTAACGAGCTTGCTCGAAACTAGTTTGAGATAAAGGGACGAAAGAAGGGGGCTTACCTTATTAAATATTTGTCGAGTGACTTACGACGAAATTGCAGGAAAATAAATGAGAAATGGCCAAGTCAAATAACGAAAACTGACTTGGCGTTATCAAGAAAGATGATTGGAATCATCGGAACGTTCCTGTTTGACAAGTCCGATTCCCGATTTTTAGCGGATTAATAAATTTTTATTGTATCCAAAAGTTTTTACCGTAACATATTATTAACCTGTTTATTGAATTCTGATTAAAATTACGGAAAATCCCGATGAGTCTCATTAATGATTTTTAAATCTTGAACTTTCGTAATTCTTATGATTATTTGAAAAATGCTTGTTTCAAAATAAATTCCGATACTTTACCTCGTCAACGATAATTTAATAAGAAGATTGATGTCGTTATCGTCTAGATGTTTAATAGCTTGAAACGCAGACGAGACATCCTATCGGAGAATGTCAGTGTCGGTCAGCGGTGCCACTTTCGATCGGGCGGATATCTCATCGCGTGGCACGTGCAGAATCTCGAGGCACCCCCCGCGGGGGTGCGGTGCCCGGGTTTTCGACTCTCGAGCTGCCCGGGATATGACGCGAATCAGTGACTTCGAAAAACGATCCTTCAGTGCTTGGCACACGGCGAGCGGGCGTGTCGGCAAACAAAATCGGTCGGTGGAACGCCATCGGCGACTGCGGCGGGCAGTAGCGCCCAGGTTACTCTTCCCTTCGTGCATCGCACCGATGCACACACGTCGTCCCCGCGGGGTTGAGCGAAAACGCAAAAAAACGCAAAAACGTCAGCGGCAAGATCCTCGAATGATTTTTCGAACGCGCAACGAGCCCGCGAGCCCCGTCCCGCTGTTTGTTCCGTGCTAGTTTTGTTCCGAATCGAACGTTTTCTCCGATAAATAACATTTCGCATTTTCGGGCAAAAAAGCTTTTGCGCATCGCGCTCGCCGCCGGCAACGGAAAAAGCGGAAAAAGCGCGTCAGACACGTTAGATCTGTCCAATCGCCGCCTCCTCCTCTGCCGGCACGGTACCTCTTTTGCCGCATTGGAAATCGCCGCTCGTTAGTGGTGCACACGATTATCGATATTTCATGGAAAACCATCGGCGGCTAATTACCAATACGAGAGAGAAATCCCCCCCCCGTTGCCCCCGGCAACATTCCACTACCGAACGGAAATTATAATCAAACAATTATAATTAACGAAATAACGCGATACCGTCCAGCGCGATTTCCGTAGTTTGTTCCATGCAATAGCTACAAAATATCATATTGTAATATTTTGAATCGATTAATTTTATCATCGGGAAATATTGCGTTGTCGCATTTATCACACTATTACACTTGATTATCCATCGTATTCTCGTATTTAACGCGCGTCAGACGCGAGAAGTAAAAGACTCGAGAGACGTACGGTGACGCGAGATGTTTATCCCAGCGTTGTCTCCGAGGGGATCTTCTTCTTTTTCCGGTATCGTTATTAGTCCCTGATGTTTATTGTACATTACCACGGCTAATTACCACAGCAATTGCCCTTTGACTCAATTATTAACAACGAATTGCGCCCAGCGATATTCAGCCACGTGCTGCGCCGCGTTTCCAAATTTGTTCTACGGGAGTTTACGGGGTCGCCAACCGGCCCATCGGGTGGAGAAAAAGAAAGAAAGAAAGAAAGAAAGAAAAAAAGGAGAAGAACCGGGAACGTGATGCGAAAAAGGAGGAAAGGAGGGAGACGGAAAGAGAGCGATTCGTACCATTTGGCTTGGCTTCGACGTCGGTTAACGCAGCGGGGTTACCGCGGACGCCTCGACGGACACATTGAGGGCGCCCGCTCGACTTGATAATCGCTTGCCATTCATACACTTTTCATTGGATTGCGATTGAGCATTAAGAAACCCGAGAGAACCCCGGGTCTACGCCGCGTATTGCGTCGCGCCCGGGTGACGTATTAGCATTAGGAGGCATCATCTCGAGTGTAAACACTGCATGGGCACCGCGGATTTAGTCACAGTCGAGAACCACGGGACGTCCCCGATATTATCGTCCCTTTTCACGTTTTTTTACCTTCGGCAGCGTCCCTCCGCTGTGCACGAGACCAGTCCACGATACCTCGTAAGCACGTCGGGAATCCATTAACCTCTTCGGGAACGGCTTCTTTTTAATTTGCAACGGTTCCGAAATCTAATTTAGTACTGGGACGATTGAGATGGTTAAATAGGAGAATAAAATGTATAATTCTCATTATTTCTTTATTCTACATGATAAATATTACATTCTTATTGGGAAAAGAAGATGCGTTGACATTTATAAAAATTATTTCGATTTATTTTATTGTGAAAAATATTGAGATTGACATGCGTTTAAAGAAGGGATAAGATTAATACTTCTGACTTAGCAATCAAGTTATTAAGTAATACTTTTTTACTTAACCCTTTAAGATCCAGATTTTAAATATTTGAATCTATTTTAATTATTATATATATATATATATCAATATAAAACAAAAAATTCTAACTTGCGAAATATAAAATAAATACACACATAAAAAAAGAACCTGTAAGTGAGTTATATCTCGCGCATTAGCTTTTCATGAGCAATCTGCGCGTTAACTCGCCCGACGGAACTTGTTTTATGTACATACATCCCTACTGGCGAGACCGACCCAGAAAGACATATCCGACGAAAGAAATATCCGAGGGAGGATCTCTCGCGGAGCGCTGCTGCGACACAAGAAAGTTTCGTCTCCGAAGGGGGGGGGGAGGCGAGGAGAAGAAAGCGGTCGTTTTGTCGTTGGCCTTAACCGCGAGGATTCACGGTTAAAGCCCACGAACGGCGGACGTCGTCCATGATCCCCTTTATCCAATCCGTGAGGATCCGCGGGGCGTTAAATCCCTCACGGGAAAAGCGCCGTAACTGAGCTCTCGCGTTCGCGCGCGCGCGCGCGCGCGCACTAAGTCGGTCAGCTCGGTCCAGCCGAGCGAGAGGATCACAATACCGGCGTCGACCGCGGACGGGATCACAACCATTCCTCCCCCCCCCTCCCGCCCCCGGCTCGTGCGTTCTCCTCGCTGAGAATTAGTTGCGCGAGAAATCCATGCTAATGTCCGGCTAATCGACCGTAATCAGCCGTGAGAGCCGACGGCTGTCGCACCGAGAGTCGACGTTCCGCGTGTCCGTGGAAGAGCGTGAGGAACGAGGCGAGAGGGAGATCCTTTTCCTCGAGTCGCGATTCGCTCGCGACGGATTGACGCGCGATCAGGCGGATTCGTATTGAGAGCGATCGCGTGTGTTTTCCACGGAAAAAAAATAGCCTATCTCTCTGCGCGAACTGACAGCTCGAGATGTAAGTAGATTTTCGTAGTTTCTTCCGAGGCGCGTCGTCACGAGCCCCCCCCGTTGTCCGATGTACTTGTAGAATTAAGATTTTAAGTAGTTTTAACTGCTGGTTTATCGACTGATTTGAGTCGCGTGTGCAATCTGTCTGTGATGACGCTGGATCTTTAACCTGAACACGGTTAGGAAATTTAAAAAAACTACTAAGGAGATTATTACAAGATATCGTTTAACGCATATGCATATGCGAATGAATATAATTTGCGATAAAAATATTCTGCAATTGTGATAAAAATATAGCATTATAAGTATAAAATTAGAAAAATTATATAATCAATAGCTAGAAAATTTTGAAGAATGTGAAGATGCGATTAGGAAATTTATTAATATTGATTATAATCGCATACAAATAATGACGTGCTTTTCACTGTGGCATTTCTGTAATTTAGGGTTGAGCGAGAAGCTGAAGAAAAATCGAGCGAGGCCAATCACGAAGAAATCTATGATCCTTATCTGCATCGTGTCACTTACAGACCAGTATCGTACGTTTATTTTCTTTAAACAGAACTTTGTTTAATCCTAATGTTTATTAACGTTAAACTCTACTAATTTACCAATCATCATTTCTCTTAATTCTTTCGCCCTATTTATAAACATCTATGTAGATTTTATTTTGATTATCGCGGTTTCTTTCTTTCCGCAGAGACTTTGGATCTTTCGCGAATTTAGTGAAAAGTGCGGCTGGAACGGGTCTTTTCGCCATGCCGAACGCATTCGCCTGCGTCGGACTCTTCATCGGGATTATCAGTACGGCGTTCATGGGATTGCTGATAACCGGGTCCCTTCAGTTGCTCGTTAGAATCCATCATCTGATGTGCACTCGTCTGAGAAAACCCGTCTTGGTGTATGACGAGGTGGTAGTCGCCACTTTAACGACGGACACCCGAAAACCGTGGCTCTCCCCGCGCACTGCAACGTTCGTAATTCCAACAATCGCGTTATTTCACGCCAAATTTCGTTATAAGACGACGAAACGCGTAATGTATAATGTCAACATTAAGCGTAACGGAAGTAATTGTGCTATGAAAAATACAATATATTTTGCTACGAAAAATACAATATGCGCTAAGTTAAAGTTTATTAAAGACGTGACGACTTTCGTGTTTTTATTTATTTTTGCAGAATTATCGTTGACGTCACGATGTTAGTGTGCTACATTGGAATCGGTTCGGTTTACGTCGTGTTCATTGCCGGCATCGTTCAAGAATGCGTGGATAGTGAAAAAGTCATCGGTCAAGGCTACTACGCTCTCATGCTATTTCCTGTTTTCTTTGTAATGAACATGGCGAAGAATCTGGCGGACATCGCGCCGATTTCTATTGCCGGAAACATTCTGCTTCTCGCAGCTGGATTTATCGGGATCGTGTACGCTTTGAAAGATGGAATCGGCGACACGTGGGCCACGATCGGGCCTAATGTAAATCTGTATCCGAAGTTTATCGGCGTGGTTTTTTTAGCATGTGCTCACCGGGACTAGTAAGTCTCTTATTTTTATAATAAATGAAGCTGGTTTCAATATTCTCCAATTAATTAATTTTAATACCAGCTAATTAGAATCAATTTATACAGTTCTGTTTTTGATCATAATCCGTATTCGATAATAATTTCAAATTATGATGTGTGCATCGTTTAGATATTAGCAATAGAACATAGTATGAAAAAACCTTGGAATTATGCTAAACCATGTGGAATACTAAATTGGGGCATGGCATTTTTGATCTTAATACATATTTTGGTCGGATCTATTGGTTATTTGAAGTGGGGACCCGATGCGCTTGGCAACTTTATCCGTAATCATGAAATACTTGACGGGTATAATATAATTTCATTACTTAGAAAAATTATGCTGACAGATATGTAAAATTTATATCATATTTTTATTATAATTTATATCCATTTATAAATTATCAATGAAATAAATTTTACCAGAGCAGAATTTCCATATTTAAAAAAGTTAATATATTTAAATTATCATGAAGTATAGAAGAAATATATTAAGAGATAATCCATAGCGATAATAATCGCTTGTCTATTAAGAAATACAATTGCAGATTTAAGTTTCGTTACTTTTGAAATATTTTGTACTAATTGGTCTCGTTGGCTTGTTTTATTGACTATTTATTTATTTAGACCGACACTAGCGGCATTAGTGATGCAAGCACTGGCAATATACTTCACGTATGGATTACAATGTTACATGCCCATTACAATTCTAAAATACAGATATGCTAAACCAGGCATCGAAACCGGTACTTGGAAAGGGACACTGTTTCTTTGGGATCTGATAATTCGTCTTGGCATCACCCTCGTTACATGTAAACGAATTTTTCTTTAAATCTCTTTCGCGCGTTGCTTGCTTCGTCCGTCGTATCTTCAAGGTAAACTTAACCGAGCTCGATGGACCGCGGTGGATTGAATTCTCCTTTCTCCTTTATCCCGAGCGAAACAACCAACTTCGTGGAAATCGATCAAACCATCCGGTTACGGTCCGCTTTGGACCCAGATATTACTAAAGTTCAGGAATCCACTTTCGCGGAATTTGATGTAGATGCTCAATTTTGTCGAGGTCTCGTTTGGTCGGTTCGCTCAGGCACCACAACGTCGTGTTACTTGTTTCAATTTGCTCTAATTACGCTAATCGATATGCGCACCGCTATTACTGGGCGAACGGAAATTCTCCGAGATAAAACGAGATTCTTGTATTTTTTAGGCATTCTGGCAGCGGCGATTCCGAAACTCGATCTATTTACCGGTTTGGTCGGCGCTATATGCATATCCACATTGGCCACATTAATCCCGACTATTTTGTACATTCTTGTACACCATGAAGATTTCGGAAAGTTCAAGTGGCGACTGATTTTGGGTCTCTCGATGTTCTCCATTGCTTTTATCGCGGCAATATGCGCCGTAACGACCAATCTCATCTTACTTGTGGAATTTTTTAAATATGAGTACGTATCTTTATCATATAAATAATAATATTGTATATTATAATATATATTAATAACCTTATTAATATATATTGTAATGTTATAATATTGTAATATAAATATTAATTATTAATATTTATAAAACTTTATAATTAATTTTTTATCCAGAATTTAAAAATATTAACGTGCTTAGATATAAATATATTATAATAATTTTATATTTATAATAGTTTTATTTTTAAACTTTTTCTTAATAAAATGAATATTTATTTGAAAATGAGAAATCTAAGCCGTAAGATTTAATAATATTAAAAGCTTTCACAGACAATGTTTTCAAGTTCTGAAATCTTGATTATGAATACGGTCGGAATATATTCGTATTTACTTGAATACAAAGAGCGACAAACGAGATGACAAACTTTTTATTCTTTTCAGGGATTGAAGCCGAAGCGACGGTGTTATCTTAATCTAGTCTCTGTTCGTAGTCCGCAGCCCGATGAAAATACCGTCGGCGCGCCTCGTAGCGTTTTCCATTTTTGTCTTCGGGCGCGGCTCTAAAGCCGCCACCGTTTACGCGCGATTCAGCCTAATCACGGCAGCTGCGGCGACGGCGGCGGCGACGACGGCGGCGAGGCGGCTGGAAAAACCGCGAAAAAGGCGTGAAGCTCATGAGGGACAAAAAGCGAGGAGAGCCGGAAAAAAGGAGAGAGAAAAGAGGGAATACGGCGAGAGAAGCGCGCGCGACGTATAATCGCGTCAGATCACCGAGGCG